CCCCAAAACCCCAAAACCCCAAAACCCCAAAACCCCAAAACCCCTGCTTTTCTAATAGAAATTGGAATTAAGCTTTAATGGATGAATACTTGTTGGAAATACTAGCCCACTTACTCTTCTGGATGCCAAGATGGGTCTTCCTAGCCTTTACCAGTTTGCTGATATAACCTTGGGTCTTCCTCTCAATGGTCTCAATCCTTTGGCTAATTTCATCCCGCAAGTTTTGATCAATCTTGATCAAATCTGTTTTGATTTGATCTACCTTTTTAGTCTTCTGTTCTTTTTCTCTGTTTTTCTCTTCACCGCTAGAGTTAAGAGTGGAGATGTCGTCATTAAGATTTTCTATAGCCTTTTTGTAGCTATTTCTCCTTTCGATAGCGCTAATGGCAGATCTGATGATATCTATGCCTTCTTCCATAGAGATAATCACCTTGCTTAGGTCCTTATCGTTCTTGTTCTCTTGGTCCATACTGTTGGTGGATTCTTGAAGGACATCTGTAGTAGTAGACCTAGCGTAGGAAGAGCCTACATCCATGCTCTTCTCTTCCTCGCTAGAGTTTGGGTCATCTTTGGAAGCAGACTCTTTTTGGTTGATACCTTCGAGTTCTCCGATACTTGACTGGAGATTTCCCATCACTGTTCCGATATTTCTGGTATTCTCGTATTCATCATTCAGCAACTGCTGAAGAGAAATGGAGTTTGAATGCAACCTAGTGACAAAATCAAGCAGATTTTGACACTTCTGGAGATCAGACTGGTAATCAAAATCTGTTTGCTCTTGTCCTCTAGGCTCAGAGCTGGATTTGGAGCCAGTTACTGTCGTTTTTATTGTATCCCACCAACTGTAGACTATTTTGCTCACAGTAGAGGTATCTTCTTCAAGATTCTCATTCTCTGTCTGGGACTTGGAGGTAGCATAATCAGTATCAAGTAAGAACTTCCTTAGCTCCTCTGACTCTCTCAAAACTGGGTGATCTTTAATGGTATTCAAAAATCTCTTAAAGCCCCTCATCCTTTTCTGAGTGTCCTCAGATTCGTTGTTAGTGATTTTCTCAGTGTAAGATTTTTCTGGAATTATATTGGTATGACACATTCAGGGTAAGCAGTCACTAGTTTGTTCCATAAAGCTACAAAGTTAGAGTATCTTCTTATAACTTTTTGGTTCTCTCCGTACAATTTTGAGTTGACTTCGAAAGTTCTGTAGCCTCCAGCAGTACCACCCATCCATTGGGGATTTTCTACTGTAATTTCTTCCTCAGAGAGTTTTGCACCACCAGTGTGCTTTTCCTCTTCATGATTTGAAATAGAACTCCTGCTCATTTTGCTTTCACTAATTTAATTTATTTCAGAATAAAGAGGAACTTTGGGGTTTTGGGGTTTTGGGGTTTTGGGGTTTTGGGGTTTTGGGGTTTTGGGGTTTTGGGG